TTTTTCATCTATGTACAAATCATTTTTATAGGTGAGTGGGCAAGTCATTGAACCTCTCACTTGGTACACCCTAGACAGCTCTCCAATACTCTAAGTCACAGAGAAGATGCTGACATGATTGGTAGAGGGAGTTCCTCACTTGGGAGTACCCAGAGCACTGGAATCTCAGGTCTAGTCCCTAGCCCTTATACTGGGCATTGACCTTGCATAGACTTACATGTGCCCAGGTTATCTTCACTACTAGAACATAAGCCCCTCGAGGGGAGGACATTTCACTGTTGACTTTCCAGTATAGCACCTGGCCCGTAGTAGGTACTTCATAAACTTAGGTTGATTGCTTACTGCCATCACCCTTCTAATGTGTGCTGTCTCTCACGTTAGAATGTAAGCTCCCTGAGGGCAGGGGATGTCTCCAGTTTTATTCGTAATCTCAGAGCTGAGCAGCACAGTGTCTAGCACACAGCAGGCTCCCAATAAACATTTAGCTAATCCTGAAAGCCCCAGACAGACTTTCTTTTCCCTTCTGCCCTCAAGCTACCATTTCATATTTCTCCTTTCACTGCCAAGTAGATAGAATTTTCTGGCTGGAAGTACCACCAGGACCACCTGTAAAACCAAATCCCCTGGTTTCCCCTCCCCTTCCCGACTTCACTATTTTTATCACCCTACACCATTCTTCCAGGCACCCCGGTTCAAAAATTCTGAGTCATCTTCATTTTCTTCCTCTCCCAGGACAGCCAATTAGTGTCCATGGACTGTTAATTCTACCTATAAAGCATAATCCAATTATCCTCCCCTCTCCACTCCTACGCCTCCCTCTCTGGTTCAAGCGCCCATTACCTCTGACCTAAGACTATGGCAATAGCTTCCTAATTGGTCTCCCTCCTTTCAGTCTTCTCCTACCTGCAAGCCATCCCAGATTCCACTGCCAATTAATCTTCTCTAATTATAGCTCGGTTCACAACCCCTTCCTGCTCAACCGCCTTCAATCGTTTCCTGTAGCCTCCCAAAGAAATCGGAAACTTCTTGAGCGGCTTTTCAAGACACTCGTGAGCTAAGCCAGACTTCCAGGTTTGTCTTGCACTGTTCCCTGCTTCCAGTCTCTGCCTAGCTCCACACACTTGTCAAAATAATCCTTCCAAGCCCAGATCTGACCAGACATCTCTCATGCTCAGGAATCTTTGTCAGTTCCTTTCTAAGGATAAAGTGCAAATTCCTTCGGGTGATGGGTAAGCCTTCCACAGTGCACACTTCGTTCTAGCCCAAATGGCCTCTGGGAGGTTCCCTGAATTCGACATTCTGTCTTTCACCTCCATGACCTCACGCTGGTTGTACCTCACACCTGCAATGCACTTCCTTCCCAGCTTCTTAAAATCCTCAGTTCCCTTCAAGGTTCAGTTCAAGGCCCATCTCTTCTGTGAAGCTTCTCAGTCTGTCAGAGGCAGATTTGGCAAAGTGGATAAACAGCTGGTCTCAGCTAGGAAAACCTGAGTTCAAATCCTGCCTCTGACAGATACTGGCTGTGCCACCTTGAGGAAGTTACTTTCAGTGTCCCAGGTAACATTTATTACCAAAAGCTGTAAAGCAGGAGCTAATGTGTACTGGTAGAGGGAGTTTCCTCACCTGGAAGTACCCCAAACCAATGAACTCCCAGCTCCAGGCCATATTATCAAATAAGGACAGACTGTTTGCTGCCTCACAGTGCAGTCCATAACAACATGGCCAAACCTGGGAAGAATGCTGACAAGCGTCTACTCTCCATTTGGTCCCTGGATGCTAGGCAAGGGTCACATCCTTTGCTTCATTAAAAACCCAGTCGCTTGAACATGAGGCAGAGATTCTGCATCATGTCCTTCCCTTCACCTAAATTAAAATCCCCTCTCTCCTGGTCTAAAGTTTGCTGGTCCAAGAGATCCACTGGAAATGACTTAGAGCTGGAAGAGAAATCCCACTTGACTTGGAATCTGAGATGTGCTTCAAACCCACCTCTTAATCTCACTCTTACGTCTTTGAGCAGGTCACTTGGTGGGGATGCTAAAGCCCCTATGACCTCTCTGACTTGCTTTCATGTGTCAGCTAGCATTAATGACTTTGTGGTCTGAAAGGCCAAAATGGGCTCAGAACAGCTTAAGGGCCCAAAGGTGGGCCAGCCCTGGGGGTTAATGGCACGTGGGGCACGACGACCTTTTCCAAAGCCCCATTCTCTCCAGACTTTGTGGAGGGGCTCATTCTAAAGGACTATTTCCAGGAGCTGGCCTCCCTAGGGACGTTGGTGGCTGCTTGAGGGAAGCAGCTGGCTCCAATCAAGCCCCTCCCCACCCCACCCTTCTCTCTTCATCTGGAGGCAAGCATGGTTCAGCCCCTCCTTGTTCCCAGACCCGTCTTCTCAGGCGGAGGCTCTTGGGAGACTTCTCTGCAGAAAGCCTGCCCTGGATTCCTCCGGACACCAACAGAGATGAGGGAGAGAGCTGGGAACACACACAGAGTCGCTTGCCTCAGATCAGGCGTCCAGCCCCACAAGATGACTGGCCCTGGGCAACAGGCGGATTTTGGTCGGATATCCTGGGAGGTATATGGGAGCCCGGTGCAGTGGAAGGAGCCCCAAGTGAATCAGAGGACCCGAGTTCAAATCCCAGCTCTGCCACTTGTGGCTACCTATCACTGGGCAAGTCACTTAACCTTTCTGTGGCTCAGCTTCTTCCAGGGATGAGGACACATGGGGATCTCTGTTTTCTGATTTTTACCTACTTACACTTGGTGTTAATCCCATTACCCGAATTAAGATGCCCAGAGGCTAAGAGGGGCCACAGCTGGTTTCTACTCTATTTTTCCCATCTTCCACTGGAGTCGCTCTTAGTAACTTCTGCCAGTCTGGCCTGGAGGTCATTTAACTTTGGAGGGGAATGCCACGCTTCCCCCAAACTTTAGCACACGAAACAAATCCAAACCAAAAACCATCCTTCTGCCTTCTGATTCTTCCTTTTTTTTATCTCTATGATCACTCTTCCAAAGCAGGCCACGGCCTCCACCGAGTCTGAGAGAAGGGAATAAGGACAGCTTCCTGACCTTGGTCAGGAGGCTCTGAGATTGGAGGCTCAGCAGCCTAGGTTGAAAAGGGGGAGGGGGAAGACAGGTAGGGAAGCAGCTGGGAGATCCACCCCCCTGAGACCACTGCACTCCTGTTCCCTGCCTGCTGGCTCAGGGGCTCCTAACTTGGGGTCTGTGGAGAAATTTCAGGTGGTCCTTGAACTTGGGTGGGAAAAAAATTCAATCATGACTTTTGCTAAATGCAGCATTTCCTTCAGTTATGAATGTAGGCTACAGATAGTCATTGTGAGAAAGGGTCCCTGGGCTTCACCAGACCACCAAAGGGGTCCAGAACACACACAAAGGTGAAGTTAACACTGTGCTACGTAGACAAAGAGGAGCCTCCAAGATGGTGCGGTGGGTCCCTGGTTTCCTTCAGGAGTTAGCTCAGCTGCCATCTTTTACATGAAGCCTTTCTTGACCCCCCTCCCAGCTCCCTCCTCCATTATCCTGTTTTAATTTCATACACATTCTGTATATACTAATACACGTTCATATCGTCTCTCTCTCCCCCATTGCCCTTAGAAAGTAAGCTCCTTGAGATCAGGGCCTAGTTTGTCTTCGTATGCCTAACACAGTTACGTGCCTGATAAATGCCCATGGATTAAGTGATCTATCTCATAGATGAATCTGTCCTGTCTCCTCGACCGTGCTCAGAGCTGGCCCACTTGGGACTTCACCTTCTTCACCCTCTTTCGATCACCCTGGCTGCCTCTCTCCCCATCTAGTCCAGACGAGGTATTATAATACTGCATTCATATTCAGTTAATTATCTGCTCAAGAATAGGTCCACAGGAGCCCAGGAGGTCACGCAGTCCATTCCCAGGCTCCACCACGTTATAGCTAAGGAAGCCGAGCCCCAGACAGATCAAGGCAACTTTCTCAGGGTCACATCTGATGTGGATCCAGGGTGAGAGCCCAAGTCTTTGGGCACCTTCTATTTCCTCTGAATCTCCCAGAGCCCTTTGCATGGGGCTGGATAGGAAGGACCATTCAGTCCATATTTGTTGACCGAATAACTGACTATTAGCACTCAACCAGGTAGTTTAACCTTGGCTTTCTGTATGTGTTCGGGAAAGGGAGCTATAGGGCTGGTCCATTTCCACTGGATTTAGGAGCTGAAGGAACCCAAACTCCCCCATTAAAGGGCTACATTAGAAAGTATCCCCATGAGGCAAACAGGTGAGATCAGAAGATCTAAGAAGTGGAGCCAGACGGGACAGCAGAGACCATTCCATCTCAGCCTCTCATTTATAGGCATGGACGGCCATGAAGATGATTAAATGGCTTGCCCAAAGTCACATAGCTACTAAACGACGGACCAAGGATTTGGACCCAGGTCTTTTGACTCCAAATCTCAACAATCCTTGGTTTAAGGCTAGACTTGGGAATCAGAAAAACCCAGGTTTGAATCCTTCCTCTGAGGCTTATTAATTGTCTAACTCTGGGCAAATCACTTAAGTTCTCTGTGCCTCAGATTCCTCAGGTGAAAAAAGGAGACGGGGCTCGAGGGCCTCCAAGGCCCCTTTCAGCTCCACGTCGATGGCTGTCTGTTACCACTTATATTTCATGGGCTTTTCTTTTGTTTCCTCAACCAAACTCCAGGCTCCCAGCAGGCAGGGCCCTTCTCCTACACTGCACTGCGAACGTCTAGTTCCAAGCGTGATGCTGGCAAACGCCCAGCACCTGCTCTGTCCTCTTCATTTTACAGATCAGGAATCTGAGACCCAGAGACCAGGAGCATGGAGCTAGCCAGTGGCCGAGGTGCCTGAAAGTGCCCGACGTGGTCTACTGGCCTCCACAGCTCCTCTCTGTGCTCAGACTGCAGGAATCTGGAGGAGACACAGAGTGAGGGGGAAGAAGAATGGAAGAAAAGATGGGGCGAGCAAAGAAGGAGGTCCGGAGCCCAGGGGTTGCTGCAGTCCCTAAAACAGGCTCTTTAATCACATCCATATCTTCACTGAAGAGCTTCTGATAGAGCACTCAATCTCACGACCCATGGGCCGCTCCATGGGGGAGGAGGGAAGGGAGAGGGAGGAGGGCTGGGAAAGGGAAATCAGATCCTGGCCACGGGGCAGTGGCCCATACCCCCTCCCCCCAGAATGGGTTAGTGGGCACGTTTCCAGAGCAGTAACCAAAGGAGGTGTGACCAAGGCAGAGAGAAACACGGGAGAGGGAAGGGAAAGAAAGAGGAGAGACTGTGGCCAGCCCTGAATTCCAGCCAGACTCAGAGGGATTTCTCCAGAACCACAAAGGGTCAAACAATCCCTCCACCCATCAGAGAAGGGGGTGTCCTCGCCCAGAAGCCACAGGGACTCTGCTCCCGGGTTATGGGAGGCTGAGCTCTCTGGGCCTAGTAGAAAGAGTACTGGTTCTCTACTGCCCGGGCCCTGTTGCGGGCACCCTCACTGTCATGGTAGTCCTCCGTCCCAGGGCCGGGAGGCTCCAGGAGGCGCTCTGCACTGTTGCTGCGGCTTCGGGCGCTCAGCGTGCCCTCGGTGCGATGGTACTGTGGGTGCGGGACAGTGCCTGAGGAGGAGGAGGCCGAGGAGGAAGAGGCACCCCCGCCCTCGGAGGGAGAAGCTGGCTGGAAGGGCCCAGGGCCGAAGCTGGAGAAGTAATGCTGGGTGGGGGGCTCGCTCCAGCAGCTGGGAGGTGGGGGGACCGTGCCGGGAGCTGGGCCAGGGTCTGCCAAAACAAACACAGAGCACGTCAATGGGCACAGGACGAGACAAGCCGGAGCCATTGCCCCAGACCTCATTCCCCATCCCTCCACCTTGAACTTTGACCACTGCTCTGGGCACACTGGTCCGCCCTTTGTTTGCTGGGTGGACCAGCCACATTCCCACCCCCATTCATTTTCTCAAGCAGCCTCCTTTGCCTGAAATGTTTCCTCCACTCATCTAGGCTTGTCCTTCCTTTAAGGCCCACTTCTTTCATGACACCTTCTTCAACTGCCCCAGTCACGTGAACTCCTCTAGCAACCCATCAATAAACATCTATTAAGCACCTATTGTTTAACAGGCATTGGAAAAACAAATACAAAAACAAAACTCTCCTTGCCCGCATGAAGCTTATATTCTACATGTCAGGCACCAGGCACTAACAAATGGGAGAACTGGGAAAGGAGGTAGCCCTTGAGATGTGCCTGGAAGGGAGCCAGGGATCAATACCACTCCTTGGCCAGGGTACTGGATTTGGAGTTCAAATCCTGCCTCAGAAGCTTCCTACCTGTGTGACCAAGTGACCTAACCCCTCTATGCCTCAGTCTTCTCATCTGTAAAATGAGACATTGCCTTATATCTCTAAATCTAGGATCTGATATTGTTAGTTGTATTTTTTGGGGTTTGGGTTTGTCTCTTCAGCTGAGCCCCAGCAAGGGCAGGGAGCTTGCCTTTAAATCCCCAACTCAAGTGGAGACATTGGAGTGACATTTATTGATGCTCATGGTCACGCTCCTGGCTTAAAGGTGGATTATTAGGAGAAACATTCATAATAATAATAACGTGGACCATGCACTGATTTACGGTGAACAAAGTGCCTTCGACCCAACGAGCTGTGAGGTAGCAGTAAAATGATTCTTCCCATTTTCCAGAGTTCGATGGCTCACCCAAGGCCACACAGCTTATTAATGGGGAAGTTCTGCACTGGCCACCAGAAGCTTGCTATTACAAGATGCTGTCTGGGGTTCCCCACCTGCTTCTGCCTGAGACACGTGGGACCCCCGGGATGGAAGGGGGGGAGGCTGGACAGTCCTTGATGCCAAGGCAGCCCGGCCTCTCCCGTAAGCAGCTCTCTCAGGCCTGGCTATGGCCAAGGTGTGCTTCTCCCAAGTCAATAACCCCATTTCCCTCTATGGGTTTCTCCCAAAGGAACCTGTTTGTCCCAGACCATAGACTGAAGCCTGCTAGAAGCTAGGGAGGGCAGTTGTTGGATGGTGGGGAAAGTGAGGGCGTGAGACAGCCCAGGCTGACGGCACCTCTGAGGCCATTGGCGCCAACCTGTGTCTGAAGGAGAATTCCCCTCCTAACTCTTTCTCCCAAATGGTTGTCTGGCCGTGGCTTGAAAACTTCCAGGGAGGGGGAATCCATTAGCCAGGGGAGAGGTTGGGTCTCTGACTCGACTGCAAAGGGAGCTCCCGGGCAAGGAAACGACTTCCCCTAACGCAGGCTGGCACCTTCTCAGAAACTTAGAGTGTCAGAGATTTGCTTAGAGGGCTGAGATGCGGAGTGATGTGTCCAGGCACGTGGCAGAGGCAGGACATCTGGCTCTGAGACCTGCCCTCTATCCACTAGGACAAGTTGCCTCTAATAATGTAAAATTCAATACAGAAACAAAACTAACTTCACAAACCCAAGATGGAGGAGCCACGACTAGATAATGAATTGTCTGAAAAAGATCTGGGGGTCTTAGTGGACTCTAAACTCAGTAGGAATCAGGGCCCTTAAGGCTGCCTCAAGGGGCATAGGATCCAGATTAAGGGAGATGAGAATGCCTCTAGCCTCTGCCCTGGCCAGGCAACATCTGTAATAGACAGTGTTCAGTTCTGGGCCCTACATTTTAGGAAGTGTGGGATGTCCCCAAAGTTTTAAAGCTTAAAACTGCACTAAGACTGTGTATTGATTAGCTTTTAGCACCTAGAGAGGAGAGATCAAGACAGTGAAGGGCCCTGAGTTTGTGCCCTTGAAGGTTTGGTTGACACAGCTTAGGAGGTTGAGACAGCTCAGGAGAGATGGGAGAGCCATCCACACACATCTGAAGTGCTATGTTATGGAAAAAGAATCAGATTTCCAGGATAGCTGGGAGTTGGATAGGATGGAGTGCTTCCTCCCCTGGCCTCAGGCTATCCCAGAACTCAGTGAGGTGGCAGGAAGGCCTCCCACCTCCAAGTGTCCTTACCCTCTGCTCCCCCTCCCCCCACCCCAGCTCTGCTCCCCAGCACCCATCTATGCTGCCAGACTGCTCACGTGGCTTAGATGATACGGGAGCCACCCACGCAGATGGAGGGCCACCAGAGGCAGCTAGGTGGCACAGTGTGGAGAGCACTGGGCCCGGAATCAGGAAGACCTGAGTTCAAATCCAACTTCAGACAGCCACTAGATCTGTGACCCTGAACAAGTCACTTGACCTCTGTGTGCCTCAGTTTCCTCTTTTGTAAAATGGGAATAATAACAGCGCCTCCCTTCCAGAGTTGTTGTGAGGATCAAATGAAATAATATTTGTAAAAACTTAGCAGTGTCGGGCACACAGCAGGCACTCTATAAATGCTACATTTCAGAACCCTGGGATGGAGGGGGTAAAAGTGTCACCAGATGAGGAAGGCACTTACCCAAGGTCACACAGCCTGTAAGCATCTGAGGCAGGATTTCTCCCCTCCCCACACAGCCCGTTGCCTCCCTGGGAGGCTTTCTGGGAGGCCTGGACCTCTCTTCCTTTTCAGTCTGACTGACACCCTTGTGAGCCTGGCAGATTCACTTTATAAACCTCCATGCACGAGCTGAATATGTTGTCCTTTCAAACTTAGGTTTACCTTTTTACTTTGCTGGGGGCTGGGCGAGGGAGGGGAGGGAGCGAATCTAAGCTCCCGCCAAGATCATGGATTGGGAAAGGGCTTTGGACATTAAGTGTCGGATGCTTGCAACTGCCCAGAAAGAACATATGGGGTTCCCACAGGCAATGCCAACCCCGGCCCATCCCATACGCGCATGTGCTCCCTGGTGCCTGCCCCCCAGCCTCACCCAGGGAGGGAGGAAAACAATTGAGTCAGACCCAACCGCCCATCCTGATAGGGCACTGTCTGCCTGCTGCCTCAGGAGAGAGGCCAGGCCCTCACCACAGCCCAGGCCACAGGGAGAGAGGCTCTGGACCACCCAAAATGGGGGGGGCGACGGAGGGAGGTTCCTCTTACCGGGCAAGGGGGCCTGGGCTAGCACATAGCTGCGAAGGGTGATGTCGGCAGCTCCCCCAGACTCCAGGGGGATAGGGTGGGTGTGGAAGTGCCTCAGCATGTCAAAGATGGACTGGAACCAGAGATGCTGGACGTGGCATTGACCGTTCTCATTCAGGGACAGGCGCAGGTGCTGTGGGAGAAGACCAGGGTCAGTAAGAAGGCAGTGGCAGGAAGGAAAGGAGGGAGGGAGGAAATGAAGAAGGAAGGAAGGAAGAAAAGAAGGAGAGCTAGGGAAAAGGAGAGGAGAGGAAGGAAGGGAGAGAGGGAGGAGGAAAGGAGAGAGGGAGGAAGAAGGAAGGAAGAAAGGAAGGAAGAAAAAGAGGAAGGAAGGAAGAAAGGAAGGAAGGAGGAAGGGAGGGATGAAGGAAGGAGAAAAGAAGGAAAGAAGGAAGGAAGGAAGGAAAGAAGGAAAGAGGCAGTGTGACCTAATGACAAGAGCCCTGGCTCTGGAGTCAAGAGGTTCTGGGTTCAAATCCTGCCTCAGGCTGCCTACCTGTGTGACCCTGGGCAAGTAATTTAACCTCCATGGGTTTTGGTTGCTTGATCTGTAAAATGGGCAGAGGTGGGATTAGACCAGATGGCCTCTGAGTCCCTTCAGCTCTCAATACTATAACCCTAAAGCAAGTCAGAAGAGCATGGGTCTCAATTGAGGACCAAGGTCTCTGACCTCATCTCTGCCTCCAGTCAGTCTATCTGACATCAAACTACCTGCCCGGCACTGAGTTGGAAGAGAAGCCGTTGCACCTCCCCAGTCTGACGGGGCAATCACAGTCTCCTTGAAGACTAGAAATAAAATAAAAGCGTGTGAGCATAAATGACGTAAGGACATTTGGTGAAGAAGATGTGTGCTGGTTCCCAAGGCCATGTGAGAGAGGATAGTGGGCGTGGAGCCAGGGCTCAATGACTGCGGGACCTTGAGGGAGGCTGACCCCACTCAGGGCCTCAGTTTCCCTGCCTGTCAAATGGGGAAGTTGGACAAGGTACCTGCTGGGATTTCCCTTGGCTGCTCATCTGGGACCCTTTGGTCCAATGATAGTCACGAGGTCAAAGAAAGTTTTCTGGGGAAAGTGAGTCTTCAGCAACTTAGTCTGGAGCGAAGGTGAAAGAGGGAAAGGGAAATAGGCAGCTGTGGACGGATGAGGAGGGAGAGTGCGCAGCAGCCCACGCCTGGGCTGGCTTCTGTCCTGCGGAAAGGTCAGCGTGGCTGGAATGTTTGACAAGCAAGGGGGAGGCCTTGTAGTCTGACTGCATGAGCTCTCCAGCTGGGCAAGCCAAGCCATCCCCAGGGGCTGCTCGGGGTGAATGGGGTTTTCTCATTTATGCAGCTTTACCTTCCTCTCATCTCCTCTGGGTGGAGGCTGAAGGAAGGTCAGCTGGACCTTGGGTCAATCCCAGCTTGGATAATGGGACCCTGAATACCACCGGCCTGGCTCGTGTCCCTAAGCCCAAAGCCTCTCTCTGAGCTCTCTTTGGGGTTCCCACTGGGGCCAATCCTCCTACAGCTGTTTAAGGACCCCTCTCCCCTTTCACCCAAGCCCTTAGCTCTTCCTCAGAACACCGTCCTTGCCCACTCCAAATGTCTGGAGATGGCTGCAGCCCCCATGCACAGAGAAAAACAAATTACCCCATTTCCGCCTGGGAATTCATTAATCACCTGGTTATCAGAGAAGTTGGCTTTTAAGTTGGCTGGCAAGGGTGAGTTGGATTCCAAGAGAAAAGCCCCTGAGGGGAAAGGCATTAACTCTGAGATGATCTTTAAGATATGCAAACATCTCAGAAGCTGCCAAGAGACTGGTGCAGCTGCACAGTAAAGGGAGGAGATGCCCACAGAGGGTGCCCCAGCCATGTGGAACAGGACCCCTTTCCAAGGAGAAGACGGGAGCATCTGAAGGGCAGAGGGCCAGATTGCAGGCAGCAGGAAGGCCAGTGGACACAGCCTCCCCCGCTCCTTCCCACTGAGATGGCAGGCTCCCAGGCTGCCATCTGTGGTTACCCATAGAAATGCCGGTGTCCTTATTACGGCCAACTAGGACAAGATGGCTTCTCAAGGGGCCTGCCTGCTCCAGATCAATGATTCTATGAATGCTCAATTAGCCCCAATAATGGAGGGGAGCGCTAGTGCTGCTAATACGAACCCAAAGAACCCTTGAATCGTTTCTGAAGCGGGCCTAAGATAGGAAGGGCAGTGCACTTCATCTACTGGCCAGGGACCAGCGAGGAGGAGGACGGAGGGGCTTGTCATCAGCAAGTCACCCACCACCTAACTGATTATTTGGCCACTTGACCCAGGAAACATTTTGTAAAAATACAGATTGGAGCTCTTGGGCTTAGCACCAGGACAGGCCTCCGTTTACAGATGAAGAAACTTCTCTGATAACCAGGTGATTAATGAATTCCCAGGCAGAAATGGGGTAGTTTGTTTTTCTTTGAGCGTGGGGGCTGCAGCTATCTCCAGACATTTGGAGTGGGCAGGGATGGTGTTCTAAGGTAGAAGCCTGGGAGGGGAAGTGACTTACCCAGCATCCCCTAGATAAAGGCTGAGCCAAAATTTGAGCTCAGGACCTTGGACTCCAAAGTCACTCTCTTTTCCCCGTCACACACACCCTGCACACTTCCTTTCTGCTCCTGCAGCGATGATGGCAGAAATGGGACGCTGGGTGGGAAGGATCAAAGGTTTTGTTGACCATCTACAAATATTAATTTAGTAACTGGGGATGCTAAATGTGAAACCCTTGGCCAACGGCAGCAGCAGCTTGAATTTATATAGCACTTACTATGTGCCAGGTACATAGTGCTTTATGATATAGTATCTCATTTCATCTTCACAACAATCAAGTCAATACCCTCCGGGAGAAACTGAGGCACATCTATGCTATCATTCTCACTAGAAAGGAAAACAAACTATCAAATTTCTGCTTATTGAAAGGATAAGCTCAGGTTCTCCAAAAGGGGGTGGGAAAAGGAACTGTTCAAGTTAACTTTCCAGTGAGCCACACGGGGTCATGGGATGCACGGTGTGGTGCGGGGAAGGGGCTCAGAGATTTGGAATCAGATAATAGTAACAACAGCAGCAACACTACCAATAGCAACAGCAGCAGTACCACCACCACCACCACCACCACCAGTAACAACAACACTGATGATGCTAAGCTAGCATTTACACAGCATTTCAAAGGTTCCAAAGCTCTTTATATACATTTCCTCATTTGATCCTCCCAACCTGCCCTGGGAGGAAGGTGCTATTCTTTCCATTTTACAGAAGAAGAAACTGAGGTGGAGAGAAGTTAAGTGACTCGCCCAGGGTCACCTAGCCGTCAGCATCTGAGGGAGGATTTGAACTCAGGTCTTCCTGACTCCCCTTCTACACCACCTCCCTACCAGAGGGTATTAGTTGAAATGCTGGCTCTACCCCTTAGTACCTGTGTGAACTTTGGCCAAGTCATTATGCCACACTGGGCCTCAGTTCTCAATCTGGAAAAGGTGAGAATTAGACCGGCCAGCTGCTAAGATTGCTCCAGCTCTAAATCTGTGATTGCTGGGAAGACATTTGAAGCCTATAAGCTAACATACATTGAAGATGTTGAAAATAGAGGGCTTCTAGGAAGAATTCAAGATTTTTTAAACCAAGTTAAAATATATTTGGATACCAGGTGGCATAAATGCAAAGGTGAGCATGGGGGAGAATGGCCAAAAAATGCTGGAAAATATTGTTCAGAATTAAGAAAATGAAAGAGGCCAAAGGCTTATTGATACTCAAAGTCTCATAGCTGTATACTGTGGGATCAGTGGTGGTGATGCAGATGATGATCTCGGTGGTGCAGTAGATAGAGTGCCGGGCCTCAGGAAGACCTGAGTTCAAATATGGCCTCAGATACTTACGAGCTGTGTGACCCTGAGCAAGTTACTTCACCCTGTTTCCCTCAGTTTCCTCCTCTGTAAAATGAGCTGAAGAAGGAAATGGCAAAACCACTCCAGAATCTTTGCCGAGAACTACCCTCCCCCCCAAAAAAGGGGTCATGAAGAGTCTGACATGACTGAAAAATGAACCAACAACAAAAGATTTAGAGCCAAAAGGGATCTTACAGGCCCCATTTTAGAGATAAGGAAACTGAGTCCCAGAGAAGTCACATAGGTTGGAATTGGCAGAGCCAAGAGGTGAACCTAAGTCTTCACATTCCAAACGAAGGGTCCTTTCATTACACCATACAGCCTCTCAAAGAAAGTCTCATTAATACTTTCTTCAAGGAGAGTGGGAAATTGATGGCCATGGCGAAATCCAAACAACAATCTTCCAAAATGAAGTTGACTGCCTCTTAACAAGAAGGCTGTTTATAGGCACGGGAGTCATTGGAGAGCTAGATGTTTGTGCAATCAGATCAAAAGTCCAACTCAATTCCAAATTAGAAGATGGGATAAAAATGAGAAGGCAGCTGTGCACGCAAGCACCCGTTGACAACAGCCCCAAACAGACCTGCTCAAACTAACTGATGATTCTGAAAAATAGGAACCGGATAAAGACATTGACGCTGATACTTCCTTTTTATAGAAGTTCAGCTCACATAAAACAGTCACCATAACGGTGAGGTTAAGAGATCCCAGAAACTGCTTTAGCCAACGTTGGACATTCCTGCTAATCTGAGCGCTGTGGCAGTCAAGGGCAACATGGTTTAGAATTCTAGCTTATTTGTTGCCAGATGTTGTGGAGGAGGGAAGGCTGTAGACAGAGGTCAAGATGACTCAGGCTCAAGCCCTGACTGCATGACCCTGGGCAAGTCAATTAACCTTTGTCTGCCTCAATTTCCTCAACTATAAATGGGTTAATAACATGAAATGAGATAACATTTGTAAAGTGCATAGCATAGTGCCTGTCACCTGATTGTTGGTGAAAGATTTGGGAGTGGGAGGCAGGAGAACAAGATCAAGGGAAGGAGAATGTGTGTTTGAACTTGAGTGATACGTTCTTTCTTGCCTCCCAGTGGATTTTATTCATGGAACAGTTTTTAAAGGGAGGGAGAAAAAGGTTCCCTGATTATACTGTTATTCAGCTGTATCTGACTCTCCAGGACTCCATTTGGGGTTTTCTTGGCAAAGATAACGGAGTGATTCACCATTTCCTTCTCCATCTCATTTTACAGATGAGGAAACTGAGGCAAACAGAGTTAAGTGACTTGCCCAGGGTCACACAGCTAGTAAGTGTCTGAGTCTGGATTTGAACTTATGAAGATGAGTCTTCCTGTCTTCAGGCTCTGAACTCTACCCACTACAGCGCCACCTAGTGGCCCTCTCTGCTTATGTACACTCATTATATTTGCCTATAGTTTTTTTGGGGGGGGTAAGAGGGGCACAAGATTTCTCTCTCTCTTGGGCCAATATTGGCAAAAATCTGCATTCTATGAGCACATTATTGGCTGGGTGGCAGGTAGGACTAGACTTCCCTAGAGAATTCACCATGGATACATCTTTCTATGGTCAGACAAGAGGTGACTTGCATCTGATGGCCTCAGTCATCCTGCCTCCACGTGCCCAGTCAATTGAGTCAGGGCTGGAGCCTAGGACCCAAGAGCTCCTAAAGAGGGCCAAAGCAAAGCCAGCAGGAATCAGAGGAGACGTGAGGCCTGATAGTGGTGACGCCAGGGATGCGCTTAGAGTTCTCCTCCCCTCCCTCTGGGCCTTTGTTTTCCCCTCTGGAGGACGAGCGGAAAGCATCTCTAGTACCAGGTAGATCAAATCAGTCAAGCCAGGATCAGAGGGATATAGATTAAAGCTGGAAGGGACCTTAGAAGTCAATGAATCCAAACCTTATGTTTTACAGATTAAGGAAACTGAGGCACAAGCACTCCATAGGTTTTGAGCTAGCAGAGACCTTAGAGGTCACTGAGTCTAAGCCCCACATTTTACAGATGAGGAAAATGAGGCTGAGAGGGGTGGATCATATAAGAGGCAGGATTTGAACTCTGGTTTTCCTGACTCCAAGCCCTGTGCTCTACCCACTGTACCACCTGGCTGCCTCTGAACATGCAGGGAGCTTGATTTGAAGCACAGGAAGGGGAGGTCCCAGCTCCATGTTGCTGGTCAATCCTGTCAGTCTTCTCACAGTCCGGAGGAGAATTCGAGCTCCCCAGGGGCCACCCAGGCCCCTCTGTATTCCAGGGCGGATGCTCTTTCCCTCACTACATCCATCTCCCTAATCATCCCCGACCTGTAATCTGCAACCCACAGTCCATACACACTTGCCTTGGCCTTGCCCTGGAAGTTGAAGGTCAGTACATACTCCCCTGGCCGGGTTTCACTCTGACGGATGACAAAGAGGCCGTGGTTCCTGGCTCCTCCTGCCAGGACCAGCTGGGCTGCCTTGATCCTGGACAGAGTCCCGTGGAACCAGGGATAGTCTGAAAGGACAATCTCCAGATCCACCTGGCTGCATTCCTCCCCTGGAGAGAGAGAGATATGGTACCATGAGTGGGGGGAAGAAGCATCATGGACTTAAGCTCTTGCCAGGCTCCTGAGGAAGGGCTCTAGCTTGACTGGCCCAGGTGGGATGAGGTGGGACTGATATGCCACAGACACGGAGGTGAGCGTGTAGATGAGGAAATCAGGTTGGGGGGGAGGAGAAAAAAGGAACTTGGCAGCATTCGGGATATTCAAGGCGATGAAGAAGTATCATAAAAGTCCTGGATGTGAGGACCAAAATGGTGCATGGAGGGGGCTTAAGAGGCATAGTGGAGAGAGTGAAGGTGAGTTCCTGGCTGTGAGGCCCTGGGTAAATCACCTGACATTTCCAGGCCCCAGGTGACTCTGGGAGATGGCGGGTACTGATCTGTCTTGGCAAGCTCCCTACAGCCATGAAGTCCTAGAGCTGGTCTGAAAAATGTAGGGGGACTGTGAGGAGACCAGTCCAATGGAACACAGTGATTAGTGGGAGAAGAGCCTGGAAAGGAAGGCTGGGGTTAGAAGCCGGAGGGCCCTGAAGGCCAGGTCTACATAATTTGGACTTTATCTACTGAAGATGGCTAGTGAGGGCAGGGGAAGGACATTCTGAAAGGGACAATGTAGGAATAATTACCAGGGACCTGCAACAATGGTCCACGGATGATTTTATGGGAAAAAGGACATCCTGATTTTCAGGGACCTTGAATTAAAACCGAGAATTTCCTTCAGCTACTATTTCCTTAATTTCTGAATGGAGGACTCCACAGAAGGGCTCTGAGGGCTTCACCAGGCCACCAAAGGGGCCCACAACACCAAAACAATTAAGAGTCCTGCTATAAAGAAAGCTCCGGGTGGTCAGGCAGGTGCCACCAGCACAGGCTGAAGCAATGACTTCACCAGTAGCTGCCTGTGAAGATCAAAGCACAGGTCTTGTCTGTCCTCTCCCTCAAAGAGGAGTCCCCGTGGGAAGTGATGAGGGCCTAGTCCACACTGATAGCCACAGGCTTGGAGAGAAAAAAAGAGGTCATTAACCTTCAGCAATGCCAAGAAGGCGCAGCAGGTACCTGTGTGGCTGGTGCTGGCGGCAGACTCCAGGGTCTGAAGGAAGTTCTCTAGAGGGACGTGGGTCAGGTGCTCCCCTGCGGAGTCCCTGGCCCTGCCGTGAGGGGCTGTGACCACTGCACCCAGCGATGGCTCTGGGGCCGCAGAGCACCTCTCCGGGGGCCGGGGGACATCTGCTAACGGGAAGACAGAGATTGGCAGGTGAGCTTGGGATCACGTGTGGAGCCTACCACCTTCCTCAGTGAGCCAGCTCCCAAAGGCCCCCGAGGGGCTGCCCCTTCACGTACCCTCAGTGAGGAATTCACAGCTGCAAGAAGATACCCGGCCTGGGAGGCAGCCGCCCTGGGCACAGGAGGAAAGCTCAATGTCGTCCCCACTGTCTCTGCAAAGGAAGAGCAGAGATTCTAGATGTGTGCTCCTAGCCCACCCTGCCCCATAGCTCACACAAGAGGCCACTTCCTATGGCACGCTCTGCTGCAGCAGAGTAGGAACACGACGTGGACTTGGGTGGAAGAGTCCCACTTCCACTATCATTCCTTCTTCCACACCTTTGCTTAAGCCGCCCCTCCCACTTGGAATTCCTTCTCCAATAACGTTGTTGTTGTTGAGCTGTTTTCAGTTGTGCCCAACTCTCCATGACCCCATTTGTGGTTTTCTCGGCAGAAATACTAGCGGCGTTTGCCCTTTCCTTCTCCAGCTCATTTGACAGATGAGGAAACTGAGGCCAACAGGGTGAAGTGAGTTGCCCAGTGTCGCACAGCTAGTAAGTGTCGGAGGCCAGCTTTGAACTCAGAAAGATGAGTCTTCCCGACTCCAGGCCTGGCGCTCTGTGCACTATGGTGCCCCCTAGCCGCCCACTCTCCAACCACAGAATCACAGATTTAAAACTAGAAGGGATCTCTGAGGGCCTCTGGTGCCATTCCTTCATTTTACAGATGAGGAAACGGAGGCTCAGAGAGATTATAGGAGCTTAGATTTGGAGCTGGAGGAGACCACAGAGGTCATCTTCTTATCTTCTAATTTTACAGTCATGGAAACTGAGGCCCAAGAAGTCAAGTGATTTGCCCAAGGTCCTTCTTCCGTGCTATGTGTATCACACTGTTCTGGGGAGCTAATTGCCGTGTGTGTGTGTGTGTGTGTGTGTGTGTGTGTGTGTGTGTTGTGGAGCCCTCCTTCCTCTCCGGGTTTCCTACTGTCACTCTCTCCAGGTTCTCCTCCTACCTGCCACACCCTCTAACTGTGGGCATCCTTCAACGCTCTGCCATGGGCCCTCTCCTCTTCTCCCTCCATACCATCTCACCTGGTGTCTGCTTTAGCTTCCTTGGATTCATTTATCATCTCTATACAACCTCCTCTTTGATTTCTATGCCAGCCTTAGTCTCTCTCCTAAACTCCAGTCCCACACCACTGATGGCCCATCGAACACTTTATTTTTATTTTATTTTATTTTTTTAGGCAATTGGGATTAAGTGACTTGCCCAGGGTCACACAGCTAGTAAGGGTCAAGTGTTCAGTCTGAGGCCGTATTTGAACTCAGGTCCTCCTGACTTCAGGGCCGGTGCTGTCTCCGTTGCGCCACCTAGCTGCCCCTCCATCGGACACGTTAACCGGGATGTCCTGCGAACATCTCAAACCCAACATGTCCCAAACAGAACTGGTGACATAGCCCCCCCCCCCAAACTCCTCTCTCTTCTGAACTTTCTCAGCAGCCTGCGGTCCCTCAGGCTTGTAACCTGGCAGGTCCCTCAGCTCCCCTCTCTCTCTCTCATCCCAAACAGTCCAGCTGGTGTCAAATCTTGTTTCTGCCTTTAGACCATCCCTTATATACATATATTCTATGCCCCCTTCTCTCTACTCACACAGCCACAGAGCACCTCACAGAGCCTGGGCCCTCGCCATCTCTCGCCCAGACTGTGGCCATAGTCTTCTCCTCCCCCTTCAATCCATCTTCATCTCGGCTACCAAAGTGGCTTTTAGGTTTAATCATGTCACCCTCACCCAAACACTCCAACTCCAGTGACTCCCTATTACCTCCCAGATCCCAAAAGGTGTCCCAAAAGTCTTAGTGTGCTTTTAAGTCTTACCAGCTTAAATCTGCCCTGAGATATGTGGGACACCTGTAGAAAATGCTCTACTTGTCACTGAAATCCCTTCCCAACCTGGGGGCTTCCCACCTTTCCAGTCTTTTGTACCTTACTCCCTTCTATCTTCTCTCTGACCAGCTACACCAGTCCATGTACTATTTGAGACGCCCATTTCCCACCTTTGCACCTTTGCACTGGCTTTCCCCTCAGGCCCAGAATGCTCTCCTTCCTGGCTTCCGTTGAGATCCCGTTCAACTCCTCCCTTCTGTATGAGGCCTCTCCCTGCCTCCCTAGGGCCTAATGTCTTCCCTCTAAGATTACCTTCCATGGACTACGTGTATATCTTGAATGCAGGGCCACTCACATGTTGTCTCTCCCATTAAAATGGGAGTTCTTTGAGGGAAGGGAACACGTTTTTGTCTTTCTGTGTATCCCTTGCCCTTAGCACAGTGTCTGAGCACACTGGAGATGTTTCATAAACTCTTGTTGACTTATTGCTCTGGGTCACCCTCTGTGGTTGCTGCCTTTCCTCCTACCCCATTGGAGGGGGAGGTCTGGTGGAAAGTAGACTGGTGAGGACACTGAGGCTTAAATGACTTACCCATACTCATTGGGCGGCAAAATGGCAGAGTCAGGGAGGGCTCCAACTCAGCTCTTCTGCCTCCCACTCAGAGAGGCAGCAACGGTGGACAGAATAGTGGACCGACACCAAGAAGATGTGGGTTCAGTTTCTACCTCAGACATTTACTAGTTGTGTGTCTCTGGGCAAACCATGTGAAACAAGGGTCACTCTGCCTCAGTTTCCTCACCTGTAAAATGAGAGCGCTAGACTCAGTGACCTCTGAGGTTTGTTCCAACCTTCAAATCTGTGACCCTATGAGATATTACACTCTCTCATCTCTCTAAGTGTGTTTCAGAATCTCTTTCCTGAGCTCCAGTCTCACACCACCCACTAATGGCTGGATTTCTCCAAGTGGATGTTGTGTACGGGTCTCAGACTCAATCCAGTTCAGCTCTAGACATTCTTGTGTCGCAGGAAAGACAGAGAGAGAGAGTGCTGGACACTAAATGGCAGCATGACCCTGAAGAATTCCCCCACATTCTCTCAGCCTCAGTTTTCTCATCTGTAAAACAGAGATTATAGCACCTGTTGTTCCACACGGCTGTGAGATCAAGGGAGAAAACTGATGGAAAGCACTTTGGAAGCCTTAAATTGCTCGTGACATTTACTCGGCCTGGCATGGGTCTCCCTCTCCCTTTTTACCTCCCACCCTCTCTAAAGTTCAGTCTCGGGCAGCCCCTTTGATGCAGACTTGCCCAAGCATTCAAGTTGTCAATGACCTCTCCCCAGTGGAACACTCATGCCACTTTCTTTACATCTAATATTTAGTCAAATATTGGGACAAAGCCATGAGATCACAGATCTATAGCTGGAAGAGATCTTTGAGGTCATTTAGTCCAATCTCTTCTCATTTTACAAAGGAGGAAACTGAGGCCCAGAGAAGTGACTTGTCAAAAATCAGAGGGCTACTTAAAAAGAATAACACTATTTCTATTCATTGACTCAGCAAGCATTTTTTGGGCACCTAAAGTACCATGTAAGATATAGAAGGGTCTTACTCCCCAATGAGCTCACCCCCAGAGACCCCTCCCTCTCATCTGACTCATAGTGGGCAAAGGGAGCTGTGAGAGAGTCGAGGTTGAGTCTGTTCCAGAGGCTGGGTTATAAGAGAATTGTTAGCTCTGGGATGCGGTGGACAAGAAAAAGGGAAGGAGTGAGTTTTCCATTACTGACACAACTCAGATTGCTTTGCCCCCAAAGAGCCCAGCCTGCGGGAGCAAGGGACGTCTGCCCCAAATCTGAAAGGGAAGGAAAGTGTGAGCGTGTCAGGGTGGGGTCCTGCCCAGACCAGCCCAACATTATGCAACTGGGGTTCCAACAACACAGGAAATGTGAAATTCACTGAGGCCCATGAACTTGAGCGGGAAATGAGAAGTAGGGCGTTCTAACCGGGAGTGGGATCGAGTACAACAGGTCCTACCCATCTGTCTCAAGGCTGTCCTACTGACTCATGGCCTCTTTCCTTTTGCGCCATCCAAATGGGACGCCCTTCTGTCTCTATTCATCTCCAGCCCCCTGCTGCTTACCCGGGGTCTGTGCAGTCCTGGATGTCGGCCACCCATGAGTGTTTCTGCAGGGAGTCAATGGTTTCCAGGATGTACTCGGCTCCATTCTCTACCTAAGCCCAATGGGGGAAAGAAGGTGAATGAATAACAACAACTAACATTTATAAAGTGCTTACTATATGCTAGACACTGTGAGAAAGACTTTACAAATATTATATGTGATTTTCACAACTCTGGGAGGTAAGGGCTATTATCACCTCCATTTTTACAGATTTTGTGAGGAAACTGAAGCAAACCGAGGTTAAGTGACTTGCCCAGGGTCACACAGCTATTAAGTGCCTGAGTCTGGATTTGACCTCAGATCTTCCTGACTCCAGGCCCAGCATCCTAGTCAACCTATCTAACTGTCAGAACATCATGGTCCCCTCTTTCTCCTCCCGCCCCAACACAGAGTCACAAGGGGCAAGGGTGAGAAAAATGGCCAGAAAGAACAACCCATCCCTGGAAGGGGAGGTTGAAGCCGGCTCCTTGACCTTGATCAGTGTCCTTTGATTCCTACAAATTACTGGGATGGAATGGTCTAGATGGCCCTGGGGGTCCCCTCCAGCTCTGAAATCTGTGGTTTAATGAAGTAATTGGCCAACTAGGACCAGCTAAGATTCTAGACTAGAGTTATCCTCAGGCAGAACTTAGTAATAATAATAGCTAACATTGTACTTAAAGGTTTGCAAAGCACTTTACGTTATATTATCTCACAACAACTCTGGAAAAGAGGAGCTGTAATTATCCCCACTTCACAGACGGGGAAGCCAGTGTAGAGAGATTATAAGACTTGACCAGGGTCACGCAGCCAAATAAGTGTTTGAGGCTGGATTTGAACTCAAGTCCTCTTGACTCAGAGTCTAACACTTTCTCCTGCACCACCAGCAAAAGGCTCCCCCCACCCCCAGACACACTCGTAAGTCTCCTCATCATCAGACTGCCTCGGTGCCCCAGGACAACTCTGAGAATCCCTCCAGCATCTTTAGAAGATACTGAGTATCTAAGAAAAGGTGACTGTTACCTCGGAGGCACCCAGGGGTGCTTGGCAAGTCTTGGGAAGGATCAGGACAAGTCTGTTTTGAGAAAAGAAGGGACCTAAGTCGTCTGGGCTGACTGTAGGCTGCCCAAAGTGAGGAGTGAGGAGGGGGGCTCTGGAGGGAAAACCTGGCTGTTTCCCTAAGACGAACCTCGCACGGCTTCACAATTCCAGCTTCGTTGGCTCTGGAGATGACACACAGGGGGAAAGGCCTTAATCATGAACGTCTCTAACTGGGTACTAGGGTGCTAAGCTGTAACTAGGGCAGGCGACCAAGGTCGTGTCTCAGGGTGCGGAAAATTTAGAGGGTGCTGACAGTACGCGTAGTCCTTCTGCTGCCTAGAAACAATTGAGCTTAGCACCTAATTAGCAACAAGAAATAGTTAGCCGAGGAAGCCGCCAGATGACATCCTTGGGCACCTCCACGTAAACGCTTCCTCTCCTTCCCACTTCATGGGGGGCCCCCTTTTTTCGGGTGCTTCTCCAGCACAGTCTGAAGCCACAGTTTGGCATCTGTCTGGCTCAGGAACAATGCTTTAGTTCTGGCTCCGATAATCTAAGCTGGTCCTGAAGCCTTTGCCCTTACTACCGAACGGGTGTCTTGCTCCATGGCTGAGCCCTGGGAAGGGAACAGCTGGGGGAGCATGCCGCCTGGAAGAGAGCAGGGAAATCGGAGGTCTGCCCATTCCCAAACAGCCCTTTATCCAGGGAGGAGGGGGAGGAGGAGGAGGAAGGACAGCAGCCAGGATGGCAGGGGGCCTGCCCATTCAACAGGAAGCCCCATCACCGTGGCAACTCCAGCCTGTCCAGGGACAGCTGAGAAACAGCAAAGACAAGAGGATTCAATGGGAAGCCTGGGAAAGGGGGCAGATAGGCCATAAGAGGCAGCAGTCACCAGCCTCCAAGAAGGCCCTTCCCCCTTTTCCTAGTGCCTTTTTTTTTTTTTAACTCTTTTAAAGGTTGAGCTGCTGCCTTTCTCCTCCTCTTCCTTGCCCCACTTCTGGGGGAGGAGGGGGCTCAGGGCTGGCTAAAGCTTGGGAGGTTCCCACACTCTGGTGACCTGCAAAGGGAACATTTGCATATCAGAGGCTTTGTGGGTTCATAAACAGCACATTCGACTCCCTGTCCCCCACCGCACACTGCCCCATCACCACCATCCTGGCTGGCTCTCCTGGGAGAGCAGACAAGCAAGAGAGGAAGAGAAACTTGGGGGCTCTCCGTGGTTTTCTCCAGCAGAGCAAGCCGGAAATGAGCACAAAGAGGGAACCCATGAGAACATCAGCAATGCCAACTGGGTCAAACCCTGCTGTGGTGACGAAGACCGCTAGTCACCGTTAGCCATGCTATTCCTTCACTTTGTGACATTGGAGAAGTCCCTCTAATTTTCTGAGTCACACTGAAGAACTCTGAGTCAATCAGTCAGCAAGTATTTAGCAAGTACCTACTATGTGCTAAGCCCTAGGGATACAAAGAAAGGCAAAAGACAGTCCCTGCTGGCAAAGATCTCACATTCTGATGGAGTAGATAACATACAAATAACGAGATGCATATAATATAAATACAGGATTGACAGAGGTTAGGCATTAGCACACATCAGGGTTGCACGCTCTCCTCTAGGGGAGGTTTGGCTTGACATGGAATGGGGATGTCCCAGCCACACCCAGTTTCTCACAAGTCACTGCTCACTCTTGAGTTGGCATGGCCTACGGCTGCACGTCCCCTGGACTACTGTTGGGGCCAGAGAAGGGAGACAGGCAGGTGTAGTGTCAGATTCAAGTAGAAGTGGGGGACAGTAAGCTGGAGTTTAGGATCCGAGGGCCGGGAGTTAACTTAGAAAGCCAAATATGAATACTACCTATGTTTTATTGTATTTTCATTTATTTTGTTAAATATCTTCCCATTAGAGTTTAATCTGGTTTGGGCAGCACTCTGAAGTTTCGTGGACTACACGTGGCTCATGGGCTGAGTGTCTGACACCTGTGGTGTACCGGATGGAGGGCTGAACTAGAGTCATGAAGACCTGGGTTCAAATCCTGCCTCACATATTTGCGAGCTGTGTAACCCTGTAACCTCTCCAGCCTCTGTTTCCTCATTAATAAAACGAGGGGGTTAGATTCGATGACTTCTGTGATTCCTTCCAGCTCCGAATCTATGGTATTATGACTCTATGGCAGGCCACAGAGGCAGAGTATGGAGGTGTGCCTTGGGGCCCCAGCCTAGAAATGGCCCAAAGAAAGGTGATGGGATCATGGATCCAAATCCTGAAGGGACCCCACGGGTTCCTTAGTCCAATCCTCCCATTTTACAGATGAGGAAACTGAGGCTCAGAGAGATTAAGGAACTCACCCATGATTATACAGCTAGTGTGTCAAAGATAGGATTTGAACTCTGGTCTTCCTGACTTCCACTATCTACTGCTATACTGTCTCTCAGGGTGAACATTGAGTATAGTTGGAGCTGAAGAGGTAGCCAGTCATCAGAGACAGGACTGAGCCTCTACATCCTTCCTCCAGGCCCCAATATTCAGTTCAATGCTCCAAGGGTCTTCTTGGGAGAGGAAGGAAATTTAAAAAAAAATAATTATTTCTTTTTAAACTGTCTTCTCTCCCTCCCACTCCCAATTGAGAAAGCAAAAAAACCAAACCAAACCCCTGTTACAAACTTGTATACTCAAGCAAAACAAATTCCCACATTGGCCACAGCCCAAAGGGGGAAAAAAGTCTCAATGTGCACTGAGCTCATCACCTGCCCATCAGGGAGTGGACAGCAGGTTTCATTGTTAGTCGCTTGGAGGACGTGGTTGGTCATTATACTGATCAAAGATCCTACATCTTTCAAAGTTGTTTGTCTTTGCAATGCTGTTATCACTGTATAAACTTTTCCCCTGGTTCTGTTCCCTTCCCTCGACATCAGCTCATACAAATTTTCCCAGGTTTCTCTAAAACCATCCCCTTCAACATCTCCCTCAGCACAATAGTATTCTATCACATTCACCCTCCTGGTTTTGAAGTCTTTGTCACCACAAAAAAGAGCTGCTAAGGATAATTTTGTTCACATGGGTCCTCTAGTAGGGTTCCACTGAGTCAACGGCTATTTGGAGTTTAATAGCTTTTGGGATAGAATTTCATGATTATTTTCCAGAATGGCTGGACCAGTTCCCAGCACCACGATGTACCTGTTTCCCTACAGCTCAGAAGAGGGGTCGTTCTAAAACACCCTCACTTGAGGGTAGGAGAGAATGGCTTCCCTGGCGCATTCCCATCCCTGGCCAGGGACAGTGGGAACCCTGGGAGAGAGAGGCCACGCCATTTTGGAACCTGTGACAGAAAGGAAGAGGACGTCGGTCACAGTCTTATGTGGACCTTAAACTTTAGAAGAGCAGATTTCCACAAGTTCATAAACAGGGCATGTACAATCCTACTGACCAAAGTTTTGAAGAGGAAGCTGGCTCAAGAGAGAAGAAATGCATTTTTGGTGACTATAACTAATTCACATAATGGGGAAAACTATGTGGGAAGGGAGATGGCTTAAGAGGCTGCTGCCCCTTCCTGGGGAGCTCATCAATGAATTCCATCTTAGAGGTAAAAGCTGCTGCCACTGAGGAAGGAAGTCCAGTTGTCCCATGCTGACCATGGCTTGGCCTTAGGGCCTTCCAGCCTCAAATAATAGCTTTGGAAATTCTGTTCTTAACAGGAAGGTAAGGGCCACACTTAGTAGGCAGAAGGAAAGAATTGCTGTCTTGTGTTGACCCATGGCAAAAAGGGAAAGCATCATGGGACTGGAGACGGGTCACTGTTGTCCTGTTTTTCAAGACAGTGTTAGAAGGTGGATACCTAATGCTGCAGGCCACGTGTGATATAGGAGGAAAAAACCCACCAGATTCTGAGTCAGATGATCTAGTGTCTCAGCTTCTTCCCACATAAAAGAAGCTAGGTGGCACAGTGGATAGAGCACCGGCCCTGAAGTCAGGACAACCTGAGTTCAAATCCAGCCTCAGACCAAACACTTGGCATTCACTAGCTGTGTGACCCTGGG